GAGGACTTATCTGAACACTTGTGTGTGTGCTATGTGTGTGTCTGTGTTTCTCTGTGTATATCTGTGTGTATGTCTACGTGCATGCATGCATGTGTGTGACTCTGCGTGTGTGCATGTGATCATGTGTGTATGCGTGTGAATGACTAAGCATCTACAAGCCGCGCAAGTTCCTCTAAGCCTTTAAAGCAATGCCTTCTGGTCAAATGGTTCCTGTCAGTGTCACAGTCACTTCCTACACCAGGGGATCACTGTGAGTTCCCAAATGTAAAATCCTTCATATTTGTCATTATTATTATTATTATTAAATTATTATATTATTAGTATTATTAAAGGGGCTTCTTAAACTTTTACCCACAACCCCATTTTGCCCCAGACATTTTATGTTACCCTGAATGTACAGATTTATAAAATAGATATAAAATCAATTTAGTGGTAATAAATAAGAAAGAAATTTAAAGACCCTTTTGTTGCTACTTATTTAACATGAAAGCACATTTTCATGCAATGAGATGGATATGCTTGTTTAATCTGACATAAAAGATGAAATGCTACCAGGCATGGTGGTGTGCACCTTTAATCCCAGCACTTTGGAGGCAGAGGCAGCTGTATATCCAAGTTCAAGGCCAGCTTGGTCTACAGAGTGAGCTTTAGGACAGCCAGCACTATATAGAAAAGCCCTGTCTTAAAGAATGGGGTAGGGGGAAGGTAGAGAGGCAGAGAGGAAAAGAGAAACCTAAAATGCTAATAAGCTGAATATTTGGATCAGTCAGATGTAGAACAACTTGTGCATTTTTCAGATCTGGCGGAAAATTTATAAGCTTCAATGCAGAGAAAACTGCTTCACGTAAATAATGCAAAATGGCAGAAGTACGTACCAGAGTCATTTCAAAATTTGTCGGAGATTCTTCCCTAATCACAGATCAAATTGTATTTAATTGGTTTTTTTGAAGCCCAAATCAGCAATTCAAATGATCATTTTTATAATCAAGCATCCTAATACAGTGGACACAAAGATATACTAGTTTGATACATAGTGAAGAAGGATGGAAGGAAAGCTGAACAGCCATTGTTTTCTATAATTAAACCATTATGTTCCAACAAAGACAGACAGACAGACAGACACACACAACACACACACACACACACACACACACACACTCAGTTAAAACTCTGTAGTTTATAACATAATATTTCCAACCTGAGCCACTGTGCTTAGGAAATATTTCTTGCAACTGTATCAATGGCAAAGTGCACATACATGTTCAGAACGAAGGCTGATGTGAAGTCTTGCAAGGCAACATGGGCAGGGGCCTAAGTACGTTTCAATTTCAAATGAAGTTTTGGTTGTTGTGTATTCACATACATGTTAATTCCTTCTGAAGGCAGCTCCTTCCATGACATAAGGACCTCCCAATAGGCCACAGCTCTTGAAAGTTCCATCACCTCCTACACTGGCCTCAGTGTCCCACGTGAGTCCCTCTGTAAGGGACATTCAAGCTCTATATAAACTGTAGTACAATTAAATGAGCAAAGAATATCTTTCAAAATATATATTGTTGAATCTTTGGTGCTGAACTTTAACAGCCAACAGCATCAGTATTCTCAACTGGAAAAAGGTTGCCTGAAACAGACATACCCCTGTAGGGTGCTTAGGGGCTTTCTTGTCCTTCAGAACTGGAAAGCACTTCTACTCTATTCTTGAGAGAAGGCTTACCTAGAAGAATCACTAGTCTAAAGTGCCTGCCATCTTTTTGCAGCTCAATTGTGTGCTTCTTGAATGGGAGCATTGTAGGTTACAAGGTCCTGTCACAATATCAGAAGACTGGACATGTTTGCCACTGTCAAATGTCAAATACCACTGTACTGTTATTATAAAAATAGATCAAGCAGGAAAGCCTCTTGGTTAGACTGCAGGAATGACTGAATATCCACCGGGAAGACTTTTCCTACACAGTGGGTAACTAAATTCTTTGTAACTACCTCCATACTTAAGCAAGCCAAGCACTTCTAGTGACAAGAGCAAACCGATTTTTAAAAACTGGTTTTATATCTTTAAAGAAGATATAAAATTTTTGGTTCTAAAACAAAGTAAAAAAAAATAGTTTTATATTAGGCAAAATGTTTCCTCTCCATTCAGACATGGGTCTGTTCTGTTCAATGGGTTGTGCCCTCCCCCATCAGTCACTAATTAAGAAAATGCTTTATAGGCTGGCCCACAGCCCGATCTTATGGCAGTTATAAGGTTTCCTCCTTTCAGCTGACTACGGTTTGTGTCAAGTTGACATGATCCTAGCCAGCACAGGGAGAGAAAAGGCAGGAAACATAAGGAAAAGCAAGAAACATTGAAGGCATGAGAGGCAAATAATGGCAATTGTCTATCATCATCCTAGTAGTATTGTGAAGGCCCTCGAGAGGTCAAATAAACTCTAAAATAGATACGTGTTCATGCCTGAAATGGAATCAGTTCTGTCACGTGTTGGCACATAAATAAATACATACAAAAGAGGACTATGCCCACCCAAAGTATGTATGAATTAATTCATCTATACATTAGCATAGTACAACTTTATTGAGAAATAAATAGAAATGTGTGTGAAGGTACAAGAATAGGGTCTAAAATACACTAGATTTGTTAGACCACATTGCTCTTAGATGCTCGGCTGTACTCTTTTTAATTACGCCTAATTGTTCTTGGACCATCATCCTGAGTTTCTTCTTGTAAAACATGAAGGATCAAGTAAATGCCTGGTGTTTTTATACCTACTGAGGTCTCAAATTCTTACCCTTATCTTCAACCATACAAATTATCTCAAACTATGACTGAAATTTGCACCACAACCCAACGCTTAATTGGATATTTTGGGTTTTGTTGGAACTCCAAAGTCGATTTGGTTTCAAATTCTCTTTTTCCTGACCCACCAGTTTGTGGTTAGTATAGGCGCTGCAGTTTTTTTGGGCTTTTGTTTGTTTGTTTGTTTGTTTGTTTTGTTTTGTTTTGTTTTCCGGTGGGGGGGGGGAGAGAATTTTGGAGGATTCATTTATCCATTTATTCCAAGTTATGTATACTGTTTACAAGGTACTGTAGTATACAGTGTAAATTCACACAAACACACATACCACACACACACACACACACACACACACACACACACAGAGAGAGAGAGAGAGAGACAAAGGGGAGGACTTCAAATTCACACAGAATCACACAACACTATATACCAAGTTGCAGATAAACAACTCTCCCTTCTGTGGGTCTTCTCCAGCTATCTTCTTCTATTGTTCTTGAAACTCTCCATGTGTGAGGGAGATGCTAGTGCATCAGTTAGGGTTTGCTAATGGGGATGAGAGTCATTTGATGGAATGGGTTTATTTCTGTACATCACGTACTCATTCACCAACTAATAATAGGAGAAAAAAAAAACCCTTCTAGTTTCAAACAGTCACTTAAGAAGCATGCCCTACTGACTTTCATTCGGTCAGGAAATTCTTTGCCCAATGACAGACATCATTTTA